TATCATTGCTGTTTTTGATTTTAGCCATTCTGACAGGAGTAAGATGGTATCTCAGCGTTGTTTTAAGTTGCATTTCCCTGATGGCTAAGGATGTTTAGCACTTTCTTAAGTGTCTATCAGCCATTCTAGACTCCTCTGTTGAGAATTTTCTGTTTAGTTCTACAAGCAACTTTTTAATTGGATTATTTGGTGTTTTTGGAGACTAGATTCTTGAGTTTTTTGTAAGTTTGGAGATCAGTCCTTTGCCAGATGTGTGGTTGGTGAATATCTTTTCCCATTCTGTAGGCTATGTTTTTGTATTTCAATTTTTAAATTTTTACTGAAATTAAAAAAGCTTCCTATTTTTTAAAATTAAAATAAAGTGACTTCATTTTCTCCTCTCTAATGCTTCCTGTTCTCCATTCCCTGCTCTCTCTCGCTCTCTCTCTTATCCCCTTTGCCTTATTTTAATTATTATTACAAATGTCAGTACAACCTGCTCAGTCAATACAGTCTTGCTTGTATATCTATTTTCTGGACTGACCACTTAGTATTGAATAACCATTTATGGAGCTCTTCCTTGAGGAAAACAACTTCTCCTGCTCTCAGAATTCCTTAGTTGCCTGTTGCTTTATGTCTAGAGTCAGGGCCTCATGAGTTTTGCCCCTTTCACTTCATTTATTTGATTCATGTCTATTAGCATCATCCTGGTCATTAAAGACATTTGTTAATTAATTAATTTTTGAGACCTTTCCTACATGAGTATATTACAGAATTGACAACCCCATTTATTCTTTTTAAATTGTTTTCTTGCTCTCTACTTCCTTTCTAATTCATAACCACTCCTTTTAAAATTACCCTTATTACACACACACACACACACACACACACACACACACACACACACACACACGGTCTACTATGTGATTTTCTGTTGCTCATATGTATATAAATTTGGGGTTGTCTACTTGGGGTTAGATTGCATAGCATCGATTTTCCTAAAGCAATATGTAATTTTCTAGCTGTATTCTAAATCCTAATTCTCACTAGATAAATGCAGTTTTCACCTCTCCTCAAAACTACTTTCTTCTACTCTAAGAGAAAAATGCATGGACCCCAGAGAATGGGAAGAAGCAGGATCTCATGAGCTAATTGGGAGCATGAGGGTAGGAGACAGGGAGCTGCCAGAATGAGAGGAGGAGGAGAGGAGGGGGGAGGTGGAATTGAAGGACCAGAAATGTTGAGTTCGGGGAAGACTGGAGGAGAGCAGGATGAGAGATACCTTATCAGAGGGAGCCATTATAGGTCGGAGGAGAGATCTGGCACTAGAGAGATTTCCAGAGATCTACAAGGATGACACGAACTGACAATCCAGGCAATGGTGGAGAGGATAACCTAAATGCCCTTCCCCTATAATGAGATTGATGACTACTTTTTATGCCCTCCACGTGCCCTCATCCAGCTGCTATTGAAAGCAGAGGCAAACATCCACAGATATACACTGAACTGAACTGTGGAACCTAATTACAGAGAGGGAGGAATGAAGATCAAAGGGGTCGGTACCAGGCTGGTGAAACCCAAAGAATCAGCTGGCCTAAACAAGGGGAGCACATGGACCCCAGACTACTCTCTGGGAAGCCAGCACAGGACTGAATCAGACCCCTGAACATGGATGTCAATGAGGAGGCCTTTGAACTCTAGGGGGCCCCTGGTAGTGGATTTGTATTTTTCCCTGACGTACTAAGGGACTTTGAGAGCCCATCCCACATGAAGGGAGGCACTCTTGGCCTGGACACATGGGGGAGGACCTAGGTCTAGCCCAGGATGATGTTGTGGACTTTGGGGAGCCCCCATCAAGGGCCCTACCCTGCCTGGGGAGTGGAGGGTGGATAGGGTGGGGGGCAGGAAGACTGGGGGGAGGGGAAGGGATTGACATGTAAACCAAGCTTGTTACTAATTTAATCTGAAAAAAATAAAAAACTACTTTCTTCTGAAACATATGGATACCACTGAGGAGACCCACATCTTGTCCAAATTCACAAAATGAACATATTTTTATCAGAACATAACCATACTATCTTTATATAACATGTAAGAGTGTTATATCTCAATAGAATTGACTAAATATAGGAGGCATGGCATAGCCTCCACATCCTAAAACAATCAGTATTCAACCTTTAATGGAAAAGGCACCTGACCCAAGACTTAGCCACTGTCAGTTATCACTTCATGTGTAAAATAGAGGATTTAGGGCTCTTTGAGTCCAGCCTTCCATCTTGATGATACCATAGCCCCAGAGTTTAATTCTTCATATACTATAAATGCTCTAATTCAAGTCTATTGTTTTAAACACTCAATTACCTTTTAGAGAATTTTAAACATAAATATTTAATATTTATTGACACAATAGACCAATCCTAGCCTATTTCTTCATGTACATAGATATTCTAATAGCAAAAAAAATCCAAAGCTCTAAAATTTTTATCTTTTTAGCAATATAAACAAATATGTGATCAATTGCCCCATCTTTAAAAATAAATATTGTTTTGTTAGTTTTATTTTTAAAGGCTTCTTTGGTGAACATAGAAAGTTTGCATCAGGACTTTTCAGTTACTTTCCCCCAGGCAATATGTGGTTCCATTGCTGTTTGGCCTACATTGTTTCTGATGAAAAGCTTCTGCCCTCTAAGGATCCTGCAGATTCTACCTTTAGCATTATGTTCTGTCAGTGACAGAAGAGTACATTTGCATGATTTTATTTGTGTTTGTTCTGCTTGGATTCATTGAATTCTCAGTTTTATGCACTTACAATCTTCAAACGTTGTTTCTTCACAAATACGTTGTCCTAACTGGATATTAGATAATCATCCCTTAATCTTCTTTTTGTTTTTTACCTCCGAGTTTCAGTTTTGGTAGGTGTCCTAGTTCAGTGATTTTTTATGTGATGTGTGTTAGTCATAATCATAACAACTGCCTGAAGATGTCAACCAATAAGAAGTCCTTATTGGATCACAGTTTGCAGGATCTCTGTCCAGGATTAGCTGGCATTATGATTTGAGGTCTACAGTGGCTCATCAGTGAACATGTCATGAAACAAAGATATTCATATTACGGTAACTTGGAAACAAAAAAGTAGAGAGGAACTTTTGCTCAATTATCATTCTCAAGGGTGTACCAGTGTACCACCAATGACCAATGTATCTCCCAATTAGTCTAATCTCTTAAAATAACACTCAGGACCACTAGCAGCACAGGATAGGGCATAGGCCTCAAACACAAGTATTTTTGGAGAATATTGAGCATCCAAAGGACAGTTGGGTCAAATCCTCTATGAAGCCAGACCAGTAATCTTCTAATTTCCGAAATATGAGTCCTAAAGTTTCCGTCATGTTTTCTTTTACAGTTTTTCTTTTTTTTTATTCCATGAAATATTTCTGCTTGCTTCTTTAATATTTATGTGTTTTCTTTAAAACAGCAGGACTAATCCTTAATCATTGATAAGGTTTTGCCTGATAATTATCATTATATGTGTTATTTTGAGATCCATTTCTGTATAGTGATTTTTCTCTACTTCTATTTTCCTGTTACTCCAAAGACTTAGTATTTTGAATTTAGAATGAGCCTTAATTGTTGTTGTGTTTTTGAATTTTCATGTCCTACCTTGCCTGAGAGTTGATTTATGTTTGAGCAAGTGTTAAAACATCTTTCAATAATGCCTGTTCAAGTTTAATGACTAGTCCTTATTCCATCACCATCATCATCAATGAACTAATGCTATCCCTACTTCTAATGGCTGGACTTTTGGGGATTGCTATTGCATAACTAGCATTGTTCAGTAAGAACTGTCAATCTTACCTAGTCTGTAATCAATTTTTTGCACACTGTGCAACATCTAGTTGTCCATCTTCTAATCCTATGTCCATTTCTCAACATTCCCATTTTTTATTTAAATTAGAAATATGCTTTTGTACATGTCAATCTCAGTTCCCTCTCCCTCCCCTCTTCCCCTGCCCCCACCGACTCCTCTATCCCAACCCATTTCTGCTCCCCAAGGAGGGTGAGGCCTTCCTTGGGGGATCTTAAAAGTCTGTCACATCTCCTCATAGAGGGATACCCTGGCAGCCTAGATTCATTTATCTGATCTATGGAGTCTTGGCCTGAAAACATACATTTGATCTACCATACAGACTTCATAAATACCCACATGAATTTTCAATTGTTTTTTCTACAAAGCCACTTCCTTTATGGGACTCTGCCCAAGCTTCTTCAGTAACTTCAAACTCTGTTCTGCCTCTGCCCCAGGGACACTCCTCTGCTCACTTTGGATCCTCTTTTCATGCCATGACATGGGGAGTGTATCATGCCCATATCTGGAAACTAGCATAGCTCACCTCACTTATCCACCCTCTTATGTGGGTCAGATCCCAGTCCTCAAAGTAGGTATTGCATATTTGTTCAGTTGTCTTAGTTGCTTAGAAAGCTGTTTGGCTATCATTCAAAGCAATATATATTCCAAGTGAATAAACACTGTTAAAAGCATACCGAGTCTCCGGCAATCCTCAGAATAGATTATATTCTGAGTCTTTAAATCCTTTATTTTTAAACAATAAATATATTTTAATATGCTTTGTATTGGATACCTTGTTCATTTTTTGCCCATCAATTATTCTTTTTAGTATCTCTAAATACCAAGACATCTGCCATACTTTTATCATTTATTTTTTGGCAGGCACAGATATCACTAGAATTTGAATCTTTTTAGTCTCCATTAACTCTATTTGGCTTTTTAAAATTCTCTTTTATTACTATTTGCTGGTCAAGTATCATATTTTATCAAATACATTTAATTTTGTCTAGTGCCTCAAACAATTTATATACACATTTGGTTATCAAGCAGCATTGGCTTTATCAAGTAACATTATCCCTTACTAATATAGAGTAGCTCATTTCTAAAATAACTCACAACTCATGAGTCCAAAACTTTAGTATGTAATCATAATTTATTTTAAGAAACAGGGCATCTACAGGCTTTGACTCTGAACTTCATAAAGCAAAACAAATTTGAAGGTTGTATATAATTGAGTTTTGTTTTATTTATAATTTGCTAATGGTAAAACTTCACATGAGTGAAAGAAAAGGCACATATTTTTCCTTATGGTTTTAACAGAAGAGTTCATGGTAAATTGATCAACCCTTAGTCAATTAGACTTTGACATGTACTAATAAGATCTAATTGAGGAATTATGAAGACATTTGCTCAGGAGAAAATGAGCACATAATTATACCATAAAGAGGTTAAAGAATCAATGTTACCCAGCTGGAAGAATATTAGTTGAAGTCCCAATGGCATCTATAAAGGACACTTCATAATACATCTGTGAAACACAGCACTGAAAAAGCCAATTAAGATATGTAGAATAATCCATTTTTAATTGTAAGAGTTCAGTTTTAAATTTCCATTTTCCCCTTTGCCTCTGGCCATTTCAGGTGCTGGGGGATGGTCTCCATCAGACAGTGACCACTACCAATGGCTTCAGGTTGACTTTGGCAATCGGAAGCAGATCAGTGCCATTGCAACCCAAGGAAGGTACAGCAGTTCCGACTGGGTGACACAGTATCGGATGCTCTACAGTGACACAGGGAGAAACTGGAAACCCTATCATCAAGATGGGAATATCTGGGTGAGTCACTGTCAGAGAATGCAAAGATGCAGAATTGAATGGAAAATATGTGAAAATGGGAGCAGACTCGCATGGCTGCTGTTCATAGTTGCAAATGTTTATCTACAAAACTATTGGAAGAATAATAATTAACCAACTAATTAACTAATTTGGTTTTGTTCATTAAGGATTATTTTCTTAGGCTGCAGTGCACATCCAGCACTTAGACCAGTGGGTCAATATCTTGATAAAAGCATTTAAATTGCCTGAAGAACTGTTAATATATAAAGACGCCAGTCACACCTGGACCAATCAGTATCATGGCCATAGAAAACCCAATCAAAAGATGGTATTTCACACCATCATTACAGACCTATGTGAACTTTTCTTTGTTATATGTTGAAAATATATAAAATTTGATCCACATACTTTGAAAATATCTCAATTGACTATAAAGTTATGCTTTCAACCAAATAGTCACCATAGTTCAATAATTATTTACCACTAAGTTACACATGAGTTCTTTCATTAAACTATATTGTTTAAAGTCTACAACAAGAATCAAGTAAAATAATGAGTCTAAAGCAGAAAGAAGGGAAAGGTAGAGAATTGGTTCATGGTCTTAGCCTGAGAAGTGGGTACATACAGTGTTCATTTACTGGAAATAGGTACTATTTTTTTTAAAGCCCAAAGTGCCCATTTGAGTTTCTAGAGTTGATAATTTACTAGATTTGGCAGACATTTCCACATGAGTGGCCAAGGATGGCAACCATAATATGAAATAAGCATGTGATCCGTAGGTGATAAGAAATATTTCTCCTCAAGAAGGATTGCAGAAATAACTCATCTCGGGCCATTGCTATGCATCATTAATACCTATGCATTGGAATCTGTAACTTGTTGGAAACACATTGGAAGGAAAATCTTCCTTCAATGAGAAGTTTTCATTACATGCTGAAAATAGCTCAAAGCCTCAATCATAAGTTTTAGAAAGGTGCTTCTCAACCACAGACAGAAGAAAATGACTTTACTAATCTACTTTTATATGCATTAAAACAATAATCAAGAGGGTTAGGTAAATGTAGCTATATTAGAGCCTTGATTTGCTTCGATGGTGAAAAGCAGTCAGGGTTAGTTATAAGATGACTGGATGCACATATGTTTAAAGGGCAAAATTGCTCAAGATAACTTGGACTGCTCTCATGATGTATAAACAGTAGGAATGGTTGCTCTAGGGAAAACTCTGAAAACAGCTCATGCGGAGAAAGTAGTCTCTGTCTGCAAAGAGTTCTGAAAACAGCTAATGTGGAGAAGATCGACTGTGTGTGCAAAGAGTCCATAGCCATTTCTGATGCTGTTAAAGCATGTTCCAATGTGATCTTATCCAATTCCAGCATTAGCTGTTTCCCTTCCTTTCAATATGCTTCTCACTGAAATTAACATAGTGTGAGTAATGAATCATAAGTAATAATGTATAGAAGATTCTGTACCAGCCAATCATGAAACTATGAAATTACCAACAAGTTTAAGGTGCAATATAAATATTGTGAAATACATTTAGCTGCTAGTAAGCATTCCACACAGTGAATCTAATAACCTATGGCAGAAATGTTTGAATCCCTGCTAATATCAAGAAAAATGACTAATGAAAATCAATTTTCTTCTAAGCATCCTTAACTACTTTGCAGCTACACCTTAAAAATTAAGTGATGGAATTTTAACTCTTACAATACTAACAAGCTCTACCTAGGCTTAAGTTTATTAGTGGTGATGATTACATGTTAGTTTTTATTGTGATCTATTTCTACTTAATACCATATAAGTTGGGCTTTAAAGAAAGTAGACAAAGTTGACAGGTGTTTTGGTTGACAGAATGTTCCAAGATGAAATATTCAGGTAGTCAGAAGTTTCAAAGTTGATATGGTTTTGAGCTAGCATTTCTCACCCATTCCTATGACTGTGGAGAATGGAAGGCAAGGTAAATTCTGTCTATTGAATCTGAATTTCAACACACATAAGTGGCTTTTACCTCTATAATTATTAAGGAAATGGGTGATACAACTAATACAGTATTTTTCAAATTCCATGTAAATATTTTGTGTGATCTTACTATCATTGGTAATGCATGCAAGAACTGGAAAAGAGTGTAAGTGCTAAAGCTGTAACAGTCCCTAGAGGTCATAATGTAAGCATGAACTCAAATCAGGTCCACCAGTCTATCACTATCTGTACCCTGAGCCCATCTGGCTTCCATGGAGAGCCACATTGTCACACAGAAGGTCCTGGTTGATGTTGGTGGTTCATAGAACAATAATAGATATAACGAAATAGAGATTCACTGGGAGGGGATGGGGTGAATAGGAGCAGTGTGAGGAACGAGTGGTCACCAGGTCACCATAAGAGTGGTCACCAGGCAAGGTGTGAAATTATTTTTAAAATGAAAATTAAAGGATAGTAACTATCAATAAATATTTATCAACTAAGTAAAGGGAACAACAAATTACATAAGTGAAAATTGTCAGCATTTCATGTATTTTTAAAGTCATGAATCTTTGGCTGAAATGGTCCCCTGAAGAGATTCCTAAGATGGCCTTTCCAAATATTTGATATGCAAAGATGTGAGCTGCTAAATGTGCCTAACTACCTGAATCTTCCAGTCCTCCCTGATATTATTTAACATAATGGAGTCCTTTGTCCTTACTGACAATGGCATTTGTCCGTTTACAGTGTAAATGTCAACATTCAGATAGGTGAAAATTGATTCCCATCATTGAGTTTACATATTTCTAGAACTATTTGCACACTCTCCACAGGTTTTTTTTTTCCGGGTCTCCCATGTATAGAGGAATAAAGAAATGTTGTACGTAATAGTATCTTAGTAAAAGTCCATTAAACATTACACTAAATAAAATCTACCAACCAAGTTTGCTTAGGAAATTTAATTACTCATATTTCAAAGCAGATATTTGAAACAAAATTAACAAAATACTTAGTAATGTGAAATAATTCTGTATTATATATTTATTTTATTTTTGTTATATATGTATATATATATATAATTTTATATTTTATAAGATATGTATCCCAAATTTACCTGTATAATGTTGATACAGTACTCTTTCTCTGTAGGGATTCTTTTCTTAAACACAGGAAATGAGTATATATTCCTAATCATTTTTTAAAGAGTTTTGACCCCTTTTGATAATAGTCAGCAGTGTCAGACAAAATTAATTACCACTGCATGTCTTGGGGATTCTTACTGTGGAAAACTGTCTTGTCATAATGAAATTACATAGATTCTCAGCAAGAATATGGGAATATATACACTGCCATAATGTAACTCATCAAATAGAATATTAATTAAAAGTCTTAAAATCTTGAAACTTTGTCGCTTTTTTAACATAATGTTAGACAAAAAAAAAACCCACCTGTACTCACAAAGTTTCATTGTTTCAACCAAATTTGAAGAAGCATCCCAGACATCTGAAATGAGAACAGATATCAGCAAGGAAAATTTTGCCTTTTGTGATGTCAAATAAATAACTACCATCATGAATCAATACTAGTACGTAGATAATGAATGTTTCTGAACTACTTCTTTTTTTATAACAACTCTGACTATTTTGGAGCTCACTTTGTAGACCAGTCTGGCCTCAAACTCACAGAGATCCACCTACCTCTGGCTGTCCAGTACTGGGGTTAAGGGTATGTGTCACCCCAGCCCAGCTCCAGCCTACTGTCTTCAATGAGAAGTGTAATTTCTTGGTGAATAAGTGAAAGTTGAGCTGTGGTGTCACAGATCTCCATGAAGAATCTTGACTCATTTGTTTTATATTCTAGAAAGTTACAATGCTCCTCTGAGGCTGAGATTCCTAATCTGAAAATTAGAGAAACAACCAGGATGTTAAATTGCATTTATATAAGTATGCAAATTTGTCAAGATACAATGACTTAGGAACACAAATATTACCTAGCATCACATCTTCAGTGATGAGTGCCTCAAATGCTTCCATCCCCTTTTTATATTCAATTTATTTTCATGCATGACTTAAAATACCCAACAGTGTTGTCAATAAGGGAAACACAACTTCACACAGGAGATAGAACATAAGCAAATCTCTGACATGCTTTCCAAATGAACCCAGGAAAGAGAATGCCTCAGTACATCAGTGCCTGGCACACTGCAGACCTGGCCAGGGACTCGGGGCTGTGTGGCCTTGCTCTGAGCCAAAAGCCAGTGTAGTGTTTGTAACAGATTATTTGTTACCATAATGATGGCCTTGTGTGCAATGAGCCATGTAAGGGGACAGTGTTTAAAAATGAGTGGGTGATTCTGTCCTATCTTTTCAACCATTTGTCATCGTGGTTGAACTAATTTTCCAAATCATTTAAAAATCTGTTCTTATTAGGAATGTACAACACGAGTGCCTGTTTCCCACTGTAGTAGTGTGGTTACAATAGTCTTTCTGCATATGACACTAAGGCAGAAAATCCAGCTCTCTGGGCCTGCCCATGTGTCCTCATCAGATAATACCATCAGCTGCACTGTTTGCCAATGCAATTTTCTTCATGGGTATCTGATGTTACTCTTGCTGTCTTTCACATACAAACGAGTTGCTACAATCAGGTGTTTGGGGGGAAAGACCAAGCAGGCATACCTGACAGAAATGTATCATTTGCTGACCAATAAAGCACATCATAACTATTTCTTTCAATATTTTCCAAAATGATCTTTGAAAGTAAAAATCTTTTGTTCTTAATATGGGATAAAATGGCCTCCAAGATTAATCCAACACATGCTCCTTGGTTCTGTGAAATAGATTTTTCTTTTTACACCTCTTTTTGACTGGTTGAAAATTTTAAAGTTCCATGAATCTTAATAAGCAGATTGGGTATTCAAATCCTTTAATGCAAACTGTTATTGCCTCTGTAGTGGATTTGATTGCACTTTTGTGAGCATCTCATAGTAAGGGGTCAGGGTTACTTCTTATGGCAATCTGAAACCATCCAATATCTCTTTTTATAGTGCAAAGACCTTTCAAACAAATATGGCTGTGTGTCCAATTTTTCCTCAGAAATTTGAATATAGAAGCAATGCCACTGTGAAGCTGAATATGTTTTGCATACACTGTTCAGCAAAGAAAAGTGAAATAGTCATGCTCCATTTTTCATTGACAGTCAAATAAATAGTTTATTATCATCCAGTGAGATTTTCATCTATAAGGTAATAGGATATATGGAATGATCATTATAATTTTTAAAGTGCACTTGGCTACTAGAAAAGTTCTGGGATAAAGACGCCCAGGGCTAAAGAGCTAGTTCAGCAGGTAAAAGTGTATTTTGTCTTCTGGAGGACCTGTATTAATTTCCAAAGACCTGCTTTAGGAAGCTCACACCCTTCTTTAACTCCAGCTCCAGGGGGATCTGATGCCTCTGACTTCTATGGGAACCTTGACATGTGTGCACACTCCCCCCACCACATACACATAACTAAATTTAGTAAAATACATAGGTTAAGTGATTCTTATCAGGAATATGGATATTCTGAAATCTGCAATTTCATATTGGAAATTAACAATAAGGATTCAAATTTTTTTCTTGTCCTTAGATTTTAAGATTGGATTTGTGATTTAATAAATATAAACATTTATAACATGATGAAGATAGGTACCTGCAAAGATTTTTAATGTAATGACAATTTTCTCACTTGAGACACACTTGTACACTCTGCTAAAGTGGCAGCTTTGGTAGAAGTTAGTGGAATAACATTGTAGTATGCTGTTATGCACAGGGGGCCCCAAAAAGTCCACCACCAAAGAGATGACTGCAAGAACAAAGATTTCTTTATTGGCAGTCTGCAGCATGGATTCCACTTGGAGCAAGCAGAATACCGCTTACAGTTTGGGGGGAAGTTAAAGGGAAAGTCCACAAAACTGAAAGTATCCAGATTACAAAATTTATGTGGTTACACAGTGCAAATCAATAACTTTATGTTTGGGCAGCATATTGTAGGGGAAACAAGTTTGTTAATTATCTCCTGGGCCAGGGATCTTTATAACTGAGAGTTTATGGCTATCTGGTCTTCTTTAGGACAGAGAAATGTGGACACAGCTGGAGTGTGTTATCTTGTCTCAGGCCTCTTGTCAAGTACCCATTTCTTTGTTTAGCCTTATCTGTCAGGCTGCCTTTTGGGAGCTCAGAGGATCTTGAAAGTTTTCTTTTATTCAGTATGGGTTTTGGAGTCTAAGTTTTTAGACTTTCATTAATTTCTACCATTTCATTGCATAAATGAGACAACTTAGAACATACTAAACATTGCTTCTTTTGGCCAGAGAGCTTGTGGCTCTACTTAGATCACCCTGGCTGCCCACATAATTTCACTCATATGGGTCCATAAGTTTACAATTTGGCAGTATTTTAAGTCTCTGCATAAATGTTCTCATCTGTAAAATGGGACTATTTATAGTATTTATCTTGTTTATCTTGGTAGTGTTTACATTAAATGTAAGTAGAGGTTATTTGCATTAGATTAATTTTCTATGTAAAGATCTTAGAACAATATGACACATAGTAGTTATATAATTATTGATGAATTTTATAATTTGAAATATTCAAAAGTTTGACCAACTCTATGACCTCAGATCTGGCCTTGAAAGTTGAAAATGAACTGTTTGGCTTTGCAATGACATTCTTCTATGTACTTGTTGGCATGTGTATTACATTAGAGCTGTGTTTTTAAGAATGAAGTGAATAATACCTCAAAATGTAGCTAGAAAAGAGTTTAATATGCCACTCAAACCATAATCCTATAAATTGCTACGCTGTGTTGTATGTATATATTGCCATACAAAATATGTCTAGACAGCTAGAGTTTTTTTTTAGGTCCTGATATATATATACATATATATATATATATATATATATATATATATATCAGGGAAAATATAGCAAAAATGCTTCTGTTATGCTAATCTTAATCAGTTCACAATTCTTAACTTTGGAATTCCAAGGAAGGAGATAAGCCATTTTAGTCCATAGTATCCACTCATGTCTTTTGGGACTAATTGAAAAGTGCAAGGTAAACAAGAAATCAAGCCAGGTTCCCCACCCCCACCCAGACAGGGTTTCTCCGTGGCTTTGGAGGCTGTCCTGGAACTAGCTCTTATAGACCAGGCTGGTCTTGAACTCACAGAGATCCGCCTGCCTCTGCCTCCCAAGGGCTGGGATTAAAGGCGTTAGCCACCAATGCCCGGCTTCAAACCAGGTTTTTAAGTGAAGGATTGACTGAGAATGAGTGAGAAAGATTGGAGAGAGAGACAGAGAGACAGACAGAGAGAGAGAGAGAGAGAGAGAGAGGAAGAGAGAGATCCACAGACTAGAGATATTCTATTGGTGTTTGTTCTTCATTTTTGAGACAGGGTCTTTTTAATGTAGCTCAGACTGGCCTCAAGCTTTTCTTTACAAATTTTAGGCATAGGGCCTCACTTATGAAGGTTGGGGAGAGGGATTTACAATTTTATTTTCTATTATTTATTTATTTAATATTTTTACTTAATTTAAATCTTATTTTCTATTTTTTTTATCAGTTAAGAATAACATACATTGAACTGAACTGGAATCTAGATGCAGAGAAGGTGGAGTGATGAGCAAAGGGGTAAAGATCAGGCTGGAGAAACCCACAGAAACAGCTGACCTGAATAAGGGGGAGCTCTTGGCTCCCAGACTGATAGCTGGGAAACCAGCATAGGACTGATCCAGACCCCATGACTGTGGGTGTCAGTGAGGAGACCTCAGAATTCTATGGGGCCTCTTGTAGTGGATCAGTACTTATCCCTAGCACAGGAATAGACTATGGGAGCCCACTTCAGATAGAGGGACACTCCCGCAGCCTAGACACATGGGGGGTGGGTCTAGGCCCTATCCCAAAGGATATGACAGACTCTGAAGACCCCACATGGAAGGCCTCACTCTCCCTGGGGAGCAGAAATGGTATGGGATAGGTAGGGTGCTAGTGGGGGACAGGGGAGTAAGGGAGAAGGGGAGGGAGAGGGAACTGGGATTGACATGTGAAACAATCTTGTTTCTAATTTAAATAAAAAATGGAGAAACAAAAGAATAACATACACAAGTTCATACATGAGGAGAGTAAATAATGCACAGAGAGAGTAATTGACAGTGGACTATGGAAAGGGAAGGGGGGATGGGAACACATGTATCTTGTTGGCACAAAAGTAGAAAGGCACAGAAGGAGGACCTATGCATGTCTGCTTCTCATTGTGGCCAGGGCACCAGCAGCTCCCAACACCCATGTCAGTTAGAAGTGCAAAGTCCCAGAGATCTACAGGAGACCCTTAGAATCTCCAGTGTGGCAGGCAACACCTACTGCTTGAAGACAGTAAACTTTTTTTTCAGCATTTTAGGGGCTCCTATGAGAAAGAAGCCTTAGAATCAGCCCCCCCATGACTCCAAACCAGAGGGTAGAATTAGGACTAAAATTCACAGTGCAATGTAAAAACCTATTTCTCTTGCAAAAAAATGAGCCTTGATTGGCCCATGAGGTCTTACTGAGTAGTACCACTTTTAAAGAGCTGCAGATAAACAAAATAAACACACTTAGTGTCTTCCAGGAGTGAAAATGAGTGGGAATTCTGTGGACAAGCTACATAAATACAGCTTGATGATGTTCTAATAGATACAGGCTACTTCAGAGCTTGCTGAGGGTTAGGGCCTAGGGAGGTCTGCAGAGGCGCTGAGCACTGTTCCCTAAACTGAAAGAGAACTGTCCTGCAGACAGGAGATGAAAGACTTCCCAAGCAGTGAATGTCTATTGAATTAGGTACCTACTGGGCTGCAGCTTTATAAACAGCCACATCCTTC